GGTCAGGGAACATGCCTAGGTTGAGGGCTACGTCACCAGTACGGCGGCATGCAGGAGGTAGTTGATTGGTGTTTTATCTTTCTCTCACTCCCCCTTCCTTTCTATCTAAAAATCAATAAAATCATATTTCAAATAGGTTTTAAAAAAGCATATTATCATAAAAATTCAAATTAGACTCTGAGATTCAAAATTTAAATATTTTAGATATTTATAAATTTGAGTATAGGAGTTTAATTTAATATTGTCTTCTTTGTAACTCCTTTCCCCCCATAAAGCACAAAAAATAGCTAATACACTCTTTTTAGGTAGTATTTAAATTTCAAAAATAGAGCCTAAGGTCCATCATCATTTCTTTATACAGAAAAAAAAAAAAAGCTAAAGTATTCAACATTGTATTAACTCTTCACAAAAGGCTCAAGATACCTGGGTCATTTATCATTCTTTAGAAGTTAATAACCTAGTTTTTGACATAGGAAAGGGATTATTAATTCTAACATGAAAAGATGTACTTCAACAGCAATACTTAGCTGTACATACCTAAAAATCTTAATTTCAGTTCCAATTCATAGTCGTTTTAGTGGTTCATTTGTCTTGACCTCACATATTGTTGACTTTTTCTTTAAGTATTAATTGTTAGATCTGAAACAGACTGTCAGAATATTTTCCCTTGTTTACAACATGTATAGTATTATTTGTATATAAAACAATTCTGAAGTAATGGGTTGAGAATTCTGATGATCACTCAACCAAATGATGTGGTTATGTTCATTTGGTCAAAGCTTTTAACTGTGTAACTTCAATTTATTAAGAACAAATTACTGATATAACTTATGAAGATTAAAATAACTTTTTTTGATTTAAAGTATTTGATGTTCAGTAGTTTTCCAGCTTTATTATTTTGTAAACTGTCTCTATTGCCTTAAAAAAGTAAGTTAGGTTACTAACAATGTTAATGTGTTACAGAAGAACTGAAGAAATTGACACCCACTGAGATTTGTCTCAGAATAGTTTATATTTAAAAAATTATGTAAAAGTGTATTAGTTTAATGTAATTGTCCATATACTACTTTATGTAAAGAAATTAATTCAATAGATTAAAATATAAACAGTAAATTATAACTTCAGTTACAATGCTGAAATTTAATTTTCAAATATAGTAGGTGAAAAGGAAAACCGATGTTATTTTGAACTAGTACAATAGCAGAAGGACAAACTGGGCCCTGAGTTTAGGGTCTTACAAGGCTGCTCTTAAAGTATCAGCCTAATTGGGTTTTTATCTGTAGGCTTGACTCGGAGAGAATCCACTTTAAAATATATATATTTTATTGATTTCAGAGAGGGAGGGAGAGAGAAATAGAAACATCAATGATGAGAGATAATCATTAGATGTCTGGCGATGGGGGTGGAATAGAGGACCATGAGTAAAAAAGTCACTAGTGGCCCAGCCAGTGTGGTTCAGCAGTTGAGCATCGACCCGGAAACCAGGAGGTTGACGATTGGATTTCCTTTTAGGGCACATGCCTGGGTTGTAGGCTTGGTCCCTGGTGAGGGCATAGAGGAGGCAGCTGATTGACGATGTTCCTCTCTCATCAATGTTTCTGTCTCTCTGTCCCTTTCTCTTCCTCTCTCTCTAATATCAATAAAACCATTTTTTTTATTTTTTTATTTTATTTTATTTTTTTATTTTTATTTTTTTTAATATTTTTTTATTTTTCGCTTAAAGTATTACAAAGGGTATTACATAAGTGTCCTTTTTTTCCCCCCCGCCCTTGACACACCCCTACCCTCCCTTACCCCCCAGT